TGTGATAAAAATGTCATGTAGTTCTCTATGCGACACCTTGGGTGAATGGAGATAGTTCATCTTATCAGTTGAAGTTACGATTTCATGTCGTCATTGTAATTTTTGTGTTACCTTTTATCTGTTTCTTCCTCACAAACTGTGTCTAACTGAAAGATTATGATGATGAGGTTAGTGTCTTGTCAGATGATCGACTTGTAGAAAAAGCTTAGGACAGCTTTATGTGAGGCGAAGGTCATTGACGTGTTAGGCGTGGGTCAAGCAGGGATGGTCAACGTTATGAACGGCTTAGTTACAGGAATGAGAAAATTGATTTTCGAATGGAGAGGTTTTCGAAAACGTGACGTTTCTAATTAATCAACGACTGTAAGCCAGGGATATACGTACATAAATAATAAGGATTATGATTTAGAAACAAAATTGCTATTTAGTCACAAGTTAACGTATCAGATACAAATGATTTTTAATAATACAGCACTCATATGGGTACCAGGTTAGCATTTTATTGTATGTGTTCACCTTATGTTGTAAAGTAAGCACTCTGTATGTTCACATATTTTTGTTGAAAATGTTGTTTAATTTTGTGTTTATATTTTCTATTGTACATGTTTAACTCTATGGAGGAAGAATGAACACACTAGTTGTTGTAGAATTTAAAAGAATGGCTATGTAAGTGTAACAACTTAACTATGTTGCACTTGATCTAAATCAATAATTTTGCTCACGATTTTACAATAACCACACTGGTGTGTTAAATACCAGTTGGTTACTTTATCAGAGCGCTAGACTGCTAACCCAAAAGTCTCGAGTTCGAATTCTATTCAAGTCTGTAGAGCGTCACTGAGTAAGCACAGCTACCTACTTCATCTAAACTTCTGACCACATAATCCATTATATACCAAGTTCACTGAAACAGCTGTACTCTATTGCATCTAACTCACTTGTTTTGGACACGAACAGGAAAATATATTAGTTTTATAATGGGCGAAATATAAAATAGGATGGTAATCCCGATTGAATCAGTGATGGCAACACATATAAAACATATTACTATTCTTTGTATTTGGGTTTTAAGATAGAAATACGAAGGGCTTATTTACTTAATTTAAAGGAAACGGTTATATTTTAAATATGTATATATATATACATGTATATATATATATATATATATATATATATATATATATATATATATATATATATATATATATGTTTATCATTGACATCCTGTCTGTAGTCACGAGAGACTAGGCTAGTCTCCTATGAGTCTGAAAATTCTCATCTTTCCTACTGCGGTATTTTGTGAATTGTAGTGTCTTTTTGATAAACTAACTCAGCATTGAATGAATATATAAAATAAGAATAAATAGGTGTTGACTTGGTGTAGAAATTTTAAAAAATAATTTCACTTCAACAAGTCAAGATATAGCCTATGCCGTAGACATGTGATAAAAATGTGATGAAGGCCTATATGCGACGTCATAGATGAATGGGGATAGTTCATCTTATCAGTTGAAGTTCCGATTCCATGACGTCATCGTAGTTTTTTTTGTGTTCCCTTTCATTTGTTTCTTCCTCACAAACTGTGTCTAACTGAAAGATTATGATGATGAGGTTAGTGTCTTGTCAGGTGATCGACTTGGAGAAAAAGCTTAGGACAGCTTTATGTGTAGTGATGGACATTTAAGTTTCATGCCTCGTTTAAGCTGGGATGGTCAACGTTGTGTAAGAAACAGTTACAGGAATGCGAAAATTAATTTTCGAAAAAGTAATGTCTCTAATTAATCAACAAGGATTACGATTTAGAAACAAAATTGAAATGTACTTAAAAGTTAACGTATCAGATACAAATATTAATAATAATACCGCACTATAGGGGTATCGGGGTAACCTTTTATTGTGCTGGCTTATGTTGTAAAGCAGGCATTCGGTATGTTCAAATATGTTTGATGAAAATGTTGTTAATTTCGTGTTTATATTTTACTATTATGCTATATTACACTATAACAATCATGTCGAGTTTTTGTACAATAGGCATGTTTGCAACGGGTCCGTCCGCCCGCCACATACAGAACACAGAATCCGTTTGAACTTTATAAATTCGGTTTGTTCTTATAGTCTTTGTTTTGATAACAAGTAGTATGGCTACTGTGTGTATTTTTCGCTACTCAACCTAATCGTCAGTAATGTCCTGATAAGGTCGATGTTTTCATCAGAAGAGAACATAGGCTATATACAATTCTCAGGAACGTCTTAGGATCTTAACTCCAGACTTTTGGTTTATCAGTCGTTAGCTCAATCATCCGATCACGCCTCCCCTTTCATGAAATACAATTTGAAACTTTAATATAACGAGCTAGCAGTGTATTGAAGGACAAATAAGACCGACACTAAAATTGTCTGCTTTGATACCCCGAGTACCATACTATTGTTTTGATTGGTTTCTTTACAAAAGAGCTTGACTTGACATACTCTTTAATGAACTGCAGCTAAACTTCTCCACAGGACTCAGTTATGGGTGGCTCCTTTGTAAAAGCCCAAGTAAATTCAGAACTCTTGCTTCTTCTTTCATTGTCCTTCAGAGCCAGAGTTTCTACCAATCATCTCTTCGGGGGGGGGGGGTTGTAGAGAGTCCCTTCAAAGAAAGTCTACCGCCCCCACCCCTAACGATATGAAATTCATATAGAAAACATATACTTTTACCAGTGTCTCCAAACCGTCAGCCCCCCCCCCCCCGCCCTCGGAAATATCAAGTGCTCCCTCGGAAAAAATTGTCTGGCAGAAACACTGTTCAGAGCATAAACAACGTCACGATGGCAGCTGGTTAATAAGTAGACAAACAAGAAAGTATGGACCACAAATGTTAAACCACACAACAGGAGAATAATTTGTGGCGAAAAAAGAAGTGCACATGGGCAATTATTTTTCTCTAATCGAGTATTTATAGACATAAACAAAAACAATCACATATAAATTTTAGCATAATAAAACATAATATGTTCACGAAATATGATTTTTTTTTGTCTCTAAGTCTAATTAGTTTGCATTTGCGCAGTTTTCCATAGTGCAGTTTTAAGAATGCGCATTTGTCTGTGAACTTCGTTGTACATAGGCCTACCTAGGTATTGTAGTACACTGTGGTTCTAAAAGGGTCAAGATATTCTTTTCTCATTTGGTGCTCAAGTTATTTGTTATTCTCTAAAAACAAATATCGTGATACAGCCAGTACTAATTTAATGTGGATCAGTGCCATTTTAATTAGCTATGTTGTTGCAAATATGTTTTATATTATATTACTGAAAGAAATTCTACATAACGTAGCCAGTATTAATTATCAGTGGATCAGTTGCATTTTATTTAGTTGTGTTATTAAATGTAAGTTTGATATTACTGTATGGCTAGCTTCATTTGAACACAACTGATGATTCTCCCTCCCCTTCCGCCTATCCCTATCCTTACTCTAACCCTTATTACTAAATTATATTACAAGAGATCTTGTACATTGAAGCTCTTAAGCCATTCCAATAAGCGCATATTATTCCTACACAAAGCATTACAACCTGATAATATTAATGAGAAACGTATTTTCAACTGCTTGCATATGGAAAATGGTTCAATGTAAAATGGTGTTATTATTTTCTTTACATTTGTATAGATATATAGCAAAAACATGGACTGACAATCCAGCATAGACGGAATAGCAAAATGTGTTAACAGCGGTGAATTTGGCTGTAGTTATGGATTTGATTTCATTGTTCACAGTTCAAACGCTAACCTGCTAACTGAAACTGCAAAATCTGAAACGGGTCTAGGACTTTTCTCCCCCCTCTGTCAATTATACCCAGGACATCCCCATTCCACTCTGGAGCAAGAACTCCCAGTTTTACCCACCACCAAACCACACCACCCCCTGCAGTAAACTAATGATGATTTTGTTTACTTGATTTTTTTTTAAAGTGCTTACATTAATTTTGATAAACATTTGTGAAATAGTGAGTTTTAGAAACGAATGACGAAAACTTGAATCTTAAATGTTTATATAACAATTTTATGTCCAATCTGTTTAATTTATGAAGTACATATAATCCCAGTTTACGTTTAGTAAGCTAATAAAGTTCCGGCCGATTATATATATATCTATATATATATATCTATATATATATATATATATATATATATATATATATATATATATATATATATATATATATATGTGTGTGTGTCTGTGTGTATGTGTGTCGGCCTACATAAGCCTATATTTAAATATATGCCACATTCGCATACTTGTATTAGTATAATCAGTGGCGTAGCGAGGTCGGGTGTCACCCGGCGCGGCAATTAGCTTAGCTTAGCTTAGCTTAGCTTAGCTTAGCTTAGCTTAGCTTAGCTTAGCTCAGCTTAGCTTAGCTTAGCTTAGCTTAGCTCAGCTTAGCTTAGCTCAGCTTAGCTTAGCTCAGCTTAGCTTAGCTCAGCTTAGCTTAGCTCAGCTTAGCTTAGCTCAGCTCAGCTTAGCTCAGCTCAGCTTAGCTCAGCTCAGCTCAGCTTAGCTCAGCTCAGCTTAGCTCAGCTCAGCTTAGCTCAGCTTAGCTTAGCTCAGCTTAGCTTAGCTCAGCTTAGCTTAGCTTAGCTCAGCTCAGCTCAGCTTAGCTCAGCTCAGCTCAGCTTAGCTTAGCTCAGCTTAGCTTAGCTCAGCTTAGCTTAGCTCAGCTTAGCTTAGCTTAGCTCAGCTCAGCTTAGCTCAGCTCAGCTTAGCTCAGCTCAGCTTAGCTCAGCTTAGCTTAGCTCAGCTTAGCTTAGCTTAGCTCAGCTTAGCTTAGCTTAGCTCAGCTTAGCTTAGCTCAGCTTAGCTTAGCTCAGCTTAGTTTAGCTCAGCTTAGCTTAGCTCAGCTTAGCTCAGCTTAGCTAAGCTCAGCTTAGCTTAGCTCAGCTTAGCTTAGCTCAGCTCAGCTTAGCTTAGCTCAGCTTCGCTTAGCTCATCTTCGCTTAGCTCAGCTTCGCTTAGCTCAGATTATAGAAAAAACTTTGTTTGCGGAAGATCTAGGAATATTACACCATTACACGGAAGTGTAATTTCCTATATTTGTTTATTACATGGTATTATATGGTTTTATATTTTATATACATACATATATATATATATATATATATATATATATATATTTAATATATATATATATATATAATATATATATATATATATATATATAGGCCTATATATATATATATATATATATATATATATATATACATACATATATATATATATATATATATATATATATATATATATATATATATATATATATATATATATATATATTTATCTCAGTGTTTGCATGTTAATTGTTAATTTGCTTTTTTGCAATTTGTGTCCTGTTTGAACTTAAATAATTAATATACAGAGTTTAGTTTATTATTGAAATAACAAATATACGCTGCTTAGTTCAGCAAAATTCAAAATACGTTGACTGTTTAATGTATGTGTATATTTCGAAAGTAGTAACAACACAAAGACAAGAAGGATGAATATTTTGCTTTACCTGCTCTTGAAAGTGATTGTTGTAGTGCTAATTATGTAAGTAAACAAATCCTGGTTAATGTGAACGAGGGTATGAAGTGTAAAATAAAAGCTCATACACCAATAAACAGAGCTAAACATTCATACTACGCTTTTAAAAAACTACACAATATTTCGTGTCAGCTACACTTAATATTTTGTTCATAATTTTTTTTACATAACACCTACAGCTGAATACGTGGCTGTCATGATTGATTACGTAATCTGACATAAAAATATTCTTATTTGGACGCCTAATTATTTTTAATTAATTAATTAAAATGTACTAAATAAATTTGAGAGATCCAACTATTATCCAATAAAATGAAATTTGATGTCAGATTAAATTGTCATCGGGTACCTACCCATATGCCAAGTATGAAAAGAATCGGTTTATGACGACAGAAAGACAGACCAAATTTGCACGAATGTTGAATTCTGTTGTACAAAGCTCCGTTGGCCTCAAAAGACAATGGATGCGCGCCCGGAGAATCTCATTTTATTTTATTGGCGCAGGCACTGTCTTGGCTGATCTACCCTACTTATTGCAGAAGATTGTAGTTGTGGTCGTCTAGTGTCTCTGGTACTATTGATACGATTACCGTTCTGGACGTCCTTTTGGACAATACATAGCCTTAATATGATTAGTGTTATCATTTCCAGCACACATAGGCAGTGGACTTGATCCATGACGGCTTGGTTTGAGATATAATCTCATGAGACATCCAAGTTGCATCTTAGCGCACAGGAAACATATTCAGCCTGCGCTCCTGATGATCGGCACTCGCTGTCGTACAGGAAAATGCTCACATAGTAGGAATTGTACGACAACATATGGTTGTTACTATTCAGCTTTGTATTATTTTTGCTGCTTTGAAGAAGCACCAGTTTACTCTCATACGCACGTAATTTGCGTCAAATGAAGAGCGTTGATTACATGAGTGATGATCCATCTATTGGTTATATCAGTGTATACGGAATGAAACCTAGAGAATAAATTTGGGAAAACTCAGTTGCACATTGTGCCGAAAGGACAGCAAAGTTAATAATCTTATCGTCTAAGGAGCTCCATCTCGGATTTCTAATTAAGTTTTGATGTCCTGGCCTTATTACAGGTCGTAAGGGGATAAAAGAGAAATGTATTTTTCAATTTGATACAATGAAATTTATAAATATATTTTTATCTCAGGTCACAGGGAGTAACTTCCTATTTGCGTTTTGGTCGTGCTGCTGATGCAATTGGGGGTAGCGAATTGCTGAAAAGTAACCAAACTGGAGAATAAACGCGAAATGTTGTAATAAACACTGAGCTCTGAAAATGGTTTTTCTTTTTTAAGCTTTTATTTAATTCACAATGTATGTTTGTTTAGCTGGTTTTTGTGTATGTGTGGGTAGTGGCAAATCTAGTAGCAACGTTTTAACCCGTTTCCAGAGCAGTGATACTAGATACATTTATCTCCGATGATAATACAATAATATAATGCATCTAATATTCATTTATGGTTTTTATTTTAATTTAATTTTAAAAATACAAAACTCGATAATAAGGGGGGGGGGGGAGGTGGGTGGATAACAATATTAAATAAACGATCGATGATCAGCTAACAGAAGTTTTATTTATCTGCTGCTCAAGTCAACTCCCCACACGTGGTGCCTCTTAAAGTTACAATTATATGTAATTCATAAGTTAAACCGAATGGACATAAAATGAATATTTAACATTTAAGATTTCCTTTTTCGTCGTTTGCTGTTAAAATCCACTCCTTCACAAGTGTTTACCAAAATTACTGTAAGCATTTTAAAAAAAATAATCAAGTGAACATACCCACACAAGCAGTGATATTTTAGGCATTTGAATGCATAATACATGGGCACATAAATTTTGTCTTGTCGCACTGAGAATGATATGTACGCTGCTAATTTCAGGAAAATAAGAAAAGTCCTGTGAAATAATTTCTGAATTGAGGGCAGCGTCATCAGCAAAAAACAAATTAACGAATAAGGTCAAGCTTTCCGATTATTTTATTTTTCATAACAACGAAAACGGGCTTCGTCTTACAGTTACTCTAAAGCTATTCTCTAAATAATGGAAAAATGCCAAAAAGTGTAGGCGCTTGCACACATCTCTACTCTACACCGCACTTGATGTAAAAATGTTTAGAGACAGAGCCATCTAACAAGTCCATAACAGGCATATTTCTTGAAAACAGATACAAATTTTAGCAGTTTAGGGAGCATCCAATTCTATCCTGCACAAAGTAAAGCACACTTCAACTACCAATACTTTTTCTTACGTAAATTGGTGGTGGAAGTGTAGGCCTACTTTGGGTCGGAGGAGCTTCACTTAGTTCTCTTTCTTTGTCCGCACTAGACGGGTGAATCTCCGTTGCTTGCTCTAAATAGCGTGGGGGAGGAGAGATGCAAGACTGCCGGGAACCAAGAAGGGTTTTGCTCTCGACCCTAACCAGAAGTCTTGACTTTAAGCTGCGGCCTTTACGTGGTTTCGGATGTGTGCCACTAGTCGGACCAAGCTCATGACCCCCCTAGTGGGTGCGGGATGGCTAGCGGTAGCCAACAGCAGCTAGAGGTTTTTGATCTGGCCGAGTAGAGCTGCTGTATGCGTTCGGCTCTTCCGAAGAGCCTGGTACGTCGGACTCCCAAGTCCCCCACATAATAGCGTGGGGGAGGAGAGGTGCAAGACTGCCGGGAACCAAAAGTCCGCAACCAGATCTTTTGACTTTAAGCGGCGGCCTTAACGGGGCTTCGGAATAATGCCACTGGTCCGACCAAACTCATGTCCCCCTAGTGGGTGCGGAATGGCCAGTGGCAGATTACAGCAGCTAGAGGGTTTTGATCTGGCGGAATGCCCCCCACGATCAAGCTGGGTACCAGGCGGTGGGACGATGTCCCGCGTCGGGTGGGTGGGGAAGGAAAGCCCGGTGAGAGCCCACGGAAGTAGCGACCGATGTGTGGGAAACTCTTGTGGTCGGAGTTTGCTACACTGAGGCCTGCCTGGCTGATGGAAGTCAGCCTTCTGAGCCGGTTTCCGTATAAGGAAGGAAAGGAAGTTCTCTTTCTCTCTGTCAATGCTGAGCTCTTCAAGTCACTTAAATTCACTTACTCGTTAAATTTTAGCGCTTCACTTTATGTTTGAAGCTTAACGGAATTTAAAACTGTATCTACCACACCTGAACTTTAATGTTACTTTAAAATGTTTTGTTACTTTCGTTTAATTTTTGTCTCTTATTTTCTTTAGACTGGTCTTTGTCGCCTCGGGGGTAAGCTCCAGAAAAAACAACGGGGAAAAATACTTTTTAGTGAGTAAGCTTTTTTAATTAATTGTGTATGTATAAGTAAGGGTACTTAAGGGAAAATATTTGCATGTACCAGGGACTCTTCTGAAAATATGGTTGCCATGGAAACGGCGGCCATCTTGGAAAAAACTATCTTTTGTGGAGTTCTAAAATTTTCTAAAGTAACATATAAAACTTCTTGTTAGGTTATGTTATGTTTGACATAGGCCACTGACAGGATCTTTCCAGACATCTCTGTCCTGGGCTAGTCTCTCCAACTGTCCCCAAGTGTATCCAATCGTCTTGGTGTCTTTTTCCAGGTCACGTCTCCAGGTCTTTCTTGGTCTGCCTCTCCTCCTCTTGCCTTGTGGATTCCAGGTGAGGGCCTGTCTTGTTATGCTGTATACAGGCTTCCTGAGTGTGTGGCCAATCAATTTCCATTTTATCTGGAGGATCTCTACTTCAATTGGCAGTTGATTTGTCCTTTCGCAGGATCTTTCTGAGCCATGCGTTTATAAATGATTGCATTTTCTTCTTATTTATAGCAGTTATTCTCCATGTCTTAGCTACATAGAGTAAAACAGGTTTTACTAGTGTGTTGAAGATCCGGATTTTTATCCCAAGGGTTAAATCTCCAGAACCCCAAACATTTTTTAGTTGATTGAAGACTGCTCTTGTCTTTACCGTCCTTATTTTTATGTCTGCTTCTGTCCAACCCTGCTTATCTATAATATTTCCAAGGTAGGTAAATCGATCCACTTCTTCTAGGGCTTCTTCTGTCAATGCTATAGGTATGCTGTTTGATGCATTGACATTGACTTCTTGTACTAACACCAATAGAGTCAGCTGACTAGTTTTTGTAACCGAAAAACAGCTGGAGATATTTTTTTCCTTCAAATTTTCGAAAAAATGTTTGGTGAAATTCCATTGAATTTAGCATTTATTTCAATGGAATTTCGCCACGCCAAATTATGTAAATTAAAAATTAATATTTCTGGATAGAGTTATGTTACAAACGCTAGCCAGCTGACTCTATTAGTGTTAGTACAAGGAGGATCAATGATTATATATCCGATATATATGTTAGTTTATGAATTTTAGAACTCCAGAAAAGTTTTTTTTTCAAGATTGCCGCCGTTGCTATCGCAACCATATTTTCAAAAGAGTCCCTGATGCATGGAATTGTTTTCCCTTATTAAGTACCCTAACTTAGATATACACAAAGAAATCAATACAATATTTTAATTAAAAAGTTTTTTTTTTTCTGGAGCCTAACCCCTTAATTTTGGTCACTGCTTCTCTCTAGGCTGGTATTTTTTCGCCTCGCTTTCCTCAATTTTCCTCACCTTTCCACACCGGCCCTTAAAATAAACTTGTAAAAGGAGGTTAGATTTTCTCTCCCGTTTCAGAATGTTTTGAAAATAAATACACAATCAGTACATCGGGGGTGTATCTTTTCCAAAAAGTGTTAACCACGCTAATCCGGTTACTGGTATCTCATCTTTTGCTTGCGTGCCAGAGAACATTTTAGCCCGCTCAAAAACTCGTTGCTCAAAAAATCCCTAATATCGGGTCACTCGTATCACGAGGTAATACTGTTTATTATAATTAGAGCAGTACTAACATACATACATTTAAGTAATTATTTCTTTCTAGACGACCAACACATCCTAAAAAATCTTCAGAATGCTTAGATTTTTAAAGTGCTTATTTTTGGTTTAAAGCTAGTATTTATTATTCAATATTGGTTGATTATAGATATTAAACGCATACAGCAATAACGTGCCATCATGTGAAAGTTGTCCGAAACAGGCTATTTGACTCTGAGGGAATTAAAAGAATAATAAAATTAATGTTATACATATAATAGCAGTAGTAGTTACTATTTTCTAATGTTACATATTTATATTCCCATGTCAACTAGTGTTTTCGAATTCGTTCCATATTTGCAGATTATTTTTGTTTGGTTTAAAACGATTTAGACTTTTTGTAAGTCAATTTAATCCAAACTGATATCTAAAGAATTGTACTTACAATTAATCGATTGACATGCAACGTAAGAGGTAGTATAACCATGTTGTGATACTGTACGTGGAACTTCTTCTTTGTAAACATAGAGGATACACTGGCCACTGGCATAGAAGTAGTCCGAGCATCCAGCAGTGTTTGAATAAGCAAGGGAACAAACCTGTAAAAATATATTGGGGGAAATTATAATAGTTTTCTTGTAAACGATTTTTCTTTTATAACTGTTTTACCGTGAGGTATTTTTCTCACATATTGTGTTGGGGGGGGGGGCATTTAAAATTGAATCCTTTGTTCTGATATAATATGTTTACCTGAGATATTTTGTCCGTGAGATATTTTGTCTTAGAAATTTAGTTTGAAATAATTTGTCGTAAGATCACTTCTCCGGTCACCATATACATATATATTAATATATATTAATATATATTAATATATATTAATATATATATATATATATATATATATATATATATATATATATATATATATATATATATATATATATAAACAATGGGATATTATATATATAATGGGAGGTAACATCTTGCTTAAACTATTTTCCCTGGATAACGTCCCCTTATCATAAAGAATTTTAATTTATTAGTTATTTTTAACCTAGTGATGTATTTAATCCAAAACCTTATTTGCCTCCAACGACTTTACATTGATAGATAATTTTACAGTAAACAGTAAAAAAAAGTATATTCCCCTTTCGAACATGACGGCCCATTGGGCAAGTGAGGCAGATTTGACCTGTTTCTGTGACCTTGGCATAAGCAAGGATAGTGTGCTCAGCACTATGCCCAGCCGCCTTAACTTTCCCTAACGTGAGGTATGTACCTATTAGAGCTGACCCGGATTACAACTCGGGACGTTCGGCTTAGCAGTCGTGTGAAGCGGTAAACAGTTTTAATACACATTTAAAACAACTTTAACAATTTAAGGCAACTGTTGATTTTATTTTACTTTTATTTTTTTATTTTTTATTATTCTGATTTATTTTATAAACGTTTTTATTGTTTTTTCAGCTAAATTGTGTATTCTTTGTGTTAAAAATAACTGTTTTACAATCGGAAGGTTTTGAACAGTATAACTACCAGCTTGGAAAAAATAAAGATAACACTAGTTTTTAATCAAAAATGTTTATTGACTGTTAAAAATCTACATTTACAATATCTAAATACTATTAAAATTTTTTGTAGCTTCTTATTTGGCCGAGGCTTATTTTTAAATATTATTTGTATAGCACACTAGGCTATAATGGTATTTACATTTCATGTCCTGTAAAATGAGATAACGTTTAGAAAGTGAAGTTTACTATTAACCTTTCGGACTTCATGTGTTGTAATTTACTACAATTCTGAATGTTTCAATCGAGTTTAATACGGTATTTGTACTCTGGTTTCTATAATAAAAAAAGTAAAGTAAAGTAGTTTCCCTTTCAAACCTGACGGTCTATGGGGCAAGTGAAGTAGAGTTCACTTGTTTCTGTGATCTCGGCATATAAAGAGATAGTGTGGTCAGAACTATGCATAGCCGCCTTTACTTTCCCTAACGTAAGTTAGGTACCCATCAGAGTTGGGTGGACTCAGGGACGGTTCTACTGACTTGAACCCGGATTCGAACTCGAGACTTACAGGTTAGCAGTCCAGCTCTCTATCACTAGACCACTCTGTCCCGTGGTTTCTATAATAGAGTGTTGAAAACGGTTAAGCCAACGTCTTACAATGATGCATCAAATAGTTTTAGCTGTTTCTTCATTGTCTTTATGTTGCAGCTAACTTCTGGGCAAGCAACGTGATTTAAGCAATAAACCAGTACGTGGATTTATATATAAACGTCTCCTTAGAGTACAATATGGGACGGCGTAGAGCGTTAGGCTGCTAAACAGAAAGTCTCGAGTTTGAATCCGGGTCAAAGTCAATTAGAACCTAAGTGAGCATCCAGCTCAGAAGGGCAACTCATGTAAGGGGAAGTAAAGGCGGCTGGGCATAGTGTAGACCACACCTTCCCTTCATATGATGTTGTCAATAAACATATGAACTCTACTTCGTCTGCCCAATGGATCGCTAGGTCTAAAGAGGAATCTTTATTTTACTAAGGTACATTAGTGAGCAACACGTTTTTCGATAAAGACGTATTTATAAGTTTTAGGTTGAGCGGAATTATTTTGTCTCGTGTTTTCAACACACAATCTGCGTTAACACAACGTACATTTTAGTATTATGAGTTGTTTAAATAATTTTCTGGTTTATGTTGTTTATAGGTCTCAACCAAATAAATATTCATTAGTTTAAGCCATTTAATATCAGGATGTTTGGGTACAGGTTATACACAGCCGATCTATCAGTTTCTGAAGGACGTGTTACATAACTGGATGTTGCAGACCGGACTACGATGTTGCCGTCCGGTTGCTTAGTCGCCGGCCGAATACGTTGCTGACACTGACTCGGGCACTAGCCAATAAGGCCGTCGTTGTCTAGGGGTATTTAATGATTCTACCCGAGTCAGCTACATTAAAATATACAACGGAACAGGAGACCTTCTTAGTTTGTGCTGTTTATTAATTCGCTGAATAATTGAGGCTTCCCCTAACCGCTAACGTCAAGAGCGCTTGTGCGAGAGAGAGCGAGACTAACTAACCTGCCTGTATTTATACCCCTGTTCTAACACCCTAGCTATTCCCACGGCACAAAGAGCTCAAAACTTTTGACCTAACAAATTATCCCCCCTGGCGCTAACAACCCAGGCTACTGGTCAGTATAAAGGCTACTATTGTCCTGTCAAAGCGGTCAGTCTCTTTGAACGTGTCACCTACAGTCCATCCCTACTGTGTACCCTGTAATTATATCGTGAGTGGATGTTTGTGGAATTCTGACCCAACACTGGATGTGTTTGTTTAACAGTGTATCTGTTGTTTAATTGTCGGTACGAAGCTTATTTTTGTTTTAAGAATATATGACAAAAGAGTTTTTATTTAATTTTTATTTTTTTAAATTCCCAGATAAAAACACTAGAAAAAAAAGGATTGTAATTTAGTTATGCTTATCAGTGCAAATAATATAGCATCAAATGTTTAGTGAAAATAATACAGTTCTTTATAAAAAAAATCAAGTTTTTGCAATAACAGGTATGAATGTTATCAATTTCAAACAAGTGATATGGAGAGTATGTTTGAGCTGAGAACTGGTATGTCTTCATAGCTACAGCAACGACTCTATGTAAACCCACCATCACAATTCACCCTTCCACAGTAATCTCATTAAGCCTTTGCCAGTGTCAAACTTGATTTTAGAAACTAGTGCCGCATGTTTATAAACAACATGCTACATGCAAGTAAATTAGAAAGATTAATTTTCTAGGTTGAAGCAGATTCCACTGACTGACTTTATGGATTGATTAAAATGTTTTCATCACCAATTTTGTGACCCTAAAATAAAAATTCAGCAACAGTGACTTTGTAAAAAAGCAGCCCTTTCATACTTGTGCCTGTTGGGTGGTGTTTTTTCATTAACGTAAAAAAATCGAAGGGGGGGGGGGGGTAGAGTATAGGGGGGTGGGGGGGGGGGGGGGTGGGCAAAAATAATATTCCGCCAAAGGGGCCATAGTTTGTCAATGCGCCTCCTTTCTGTAGTTACACAAACACGCACCAGTGGAGATCAATATAATAGGAATAAACTGCGAAAGGACACAATCTCAGACAGAGAGTTTACATTATGAGTATACATACGCTGGAGTAGAATAAATAGGGAAAGATGAGGATGAGATGGGAAAAAATGTCACGAACCGGAATGTTTTAGACAAAAAATATAGGAGGCTGGAAATCATTTATTGAGTTCTAAAACACAGTCATAAATCGATGTTTTTAGAGGGAAGCAGAAAATAATAAGAATGATCAAAAGGTCCTGTTTGCAAGTATTCCAAGTACTATAGTTATTAAATAATCAATTCAGATACACAAACAATTTGTTGACATTTAAAAAAAAAAATTTTCTCTTTTTTTCTTCTTTCTGAAAAACAAGGTTGATTTTTTCAATTGCTATTAAGTGACATAATTTCTGCGGAGTTATATAGGCAATGATATTTATTATACCAGGTTGTTCATGTGAACTAAATTATTAAATCATTAACTTACATTATCTGTGAAAATATTTCAAGAAAAGCTCAATAAAATTGATGTTATGTACAGCTTCTTTAACATAGTTTGAAGGGGAATACTGAATGTTGTATTAAAACAACTGGGAAATCAATATTTATAAAGTAATACATAGTAATTTAAATTCTTTTTTGAGATTACAAATTGTACATGTTTTTATCATACATCTTGATGGTTGTTAAAACGTTTATTCATACCAATACATGATTGACTAAAGATTTATTTTTTTAAATTGTATTATATTTGTTTCATACATGCAAAATGTGTTTATAAAATAATTTGCTTGCCCAGTGTTAAGTATAGCATATTTGAAAACTGAAATATCAGATCACATTTAGTTAAAGATAGATAAACATTTTAAATCTTTACAAGAGGACACCAATTTTGAAATAATAATGAACATAGGCGATATAAAAATAAATTTTTTGACAAGTTACATAATTAAAAGAAAAAGAAAAAAAACTTCCTAGATTACCAATGACAAAACATAAAATCAAATTGAATATTAGTGCAATTTATTGTAATTTATTTCAATTTAGTAGGCTACAACTTTGATTTATACAGAATTACAAAAAAATACTTCCTCTCGAAAAAATGACAAGACATAAAAGCAAATTGAATATTAGTGCAATTTATTGTAATTTATTTAAATTTAGTCGGCTACAAATTTGATTTTTAGAAAACCCACAACCAGACAGAAATGTGTTAAAATAAAGTAATTATCCCGTTTATTTGCATATTAAATCAATCATAAAAAACAGTACATCTTTTGACTTTTTAAGCATGTATCATACACGCATTAAAGGAATTGAACTGTCTTACATTTGTATACATGGTTTTTAGATAACTTTAAAACACATAAAAGTATACATTCATATAATTCAGAATCTTTTGACCATTAGGTATTAAGTTTTCTCACAACCCATTTAAAAATATTTTTATGTTTTCAATATCTTAAAATGCGCTTATTATTTGACTACGACATGTAGTTGCATTAAAAAGTGCTACTATTGATTACGTACTGAATTATTTAATTTAAAAAATATGTATAGAAACGTAATTGAGTTATAATAACCAATTACTTATAAACCCTTGATGTATGAATGATATTAATTAAGAAACTCATGTTATCTCACAGTAACAATCATAATATAACTCTTGATTTGGTTTTACCATTGTGTTTGCTCCCTTAAAATGTGCAAACACTTTTTCTTAGAATGAAATTTTAAAAGTGAAAAATAGATCCCTGAAGATTTTAGCCGGCAGGCATTCAATCTGCGGGTAAAAATCATATCATCAGTCAATAATAAATAAGTTTATAATTATATTATATAATTTAGATTTAGTTAAGTTTTATATAATTATAGGTATAATCTATAGTTAAATTAACTTTAAAAAAAAAACAACTAGCATTACATTATACATATGCAAATAACCTACTGTAATTGCTTTTTTCGTATTTTTAAAATTCTAGAATATAAAAAATTCACATTATTTTTCCAATTTGAAATACGTTTCAAGGATTTGAATTATACATACCGTAAGTGTATGCCAATTTAAATCCCCAATAATTATATGCTCCTTGAAAATGGATTATCAAATACAGGTTGCTGGTAAAGTTCATTACTTTAGGGACAACTAAATCGCAATATTGTTGAAGCACTGGATCATTTTTTGTTGTACCGTTTATAAATGTCAAAAAACTATACGAGCAGTTCTGAGATGATTCAAATACAACATCTAAAACCCTGTATTAAAATGAAAAAAAAACAGCAATATGTTATATTATGATAATTGAAGTTTGTGAACACAAATAAATATAATTTTTTATGATTTTAGACATTGGCTAGAGATTACAGAGGGAACAAAGCTTATTATTAAAAGCTTAAACACAATACTTAATATTTTTTTAAAAAAGCATGATTTTCAAGAAAATGGTTTTCATATTGTAAACGATTTATGTACCTTGATCTAAGAAGAAACAAATGAAAATTAGTTCGTCTATGAAAGTCAATAGCGTCTAAAACTAATTATATTTATAAATTTCAAGTATCGAAAAATATGTGTTGGCATCTAGGGTAGATTTTCTAATGAGACATTTTAAAATCACTCTACCAAGGTGTATCTATTTTTATTTATAATGAAAAAAAAACATATTTCAGTCGAATTTTCATTAAAGCTGGAAACTACTTAAAATTGTAGAAATGTAGGCATACCTAATGGTTGTTACCATTTGAGGTTTAGCCGGAATAGTCCAAGCGCATTCAAAGTTACTCTTGCCACTGATAGGGTAGATTGGACCAGTTATAAGACCTGTATTCCCAGTAACCGCCGTGTTACAGGGAATGTAGTTTGCTGCAAGACAAACACAGTCGTATACAGTGATACAAATACAAAATATACTTTTGACAAATATTAAAATATAAACATAGCTATGCACAATTATATACATTGATACAAATAAAAAACATTTTAGACAAATTTTAAAAACAATAAGAATAGCTATACACAATTGTATACAGTAATACAAATATAAAACAGGCTTTTGACAAATATTAAAACAATAAAATAGCGTTACAAAATTGTAAAAAAATTAATACAAATAAAAAAAAACGATTTTTGATAAAGATTAAAACTATAAACATAGTTACACAATTGTATACATCAATATAAATACAAAACAAATATTAAAACTATTGGTCTTAAAATGTAAATGAAAGTTTACTCACCTTTACATTTAGTGGAATCTGCAGGGTCAATAATGAATCCAGGTTGTCGGCAAGAGCATGTTGAATTGCCTGTTGTTAGCGAGTTTTTCTCCTGATATGGTCCGGTGGGAACCTTGCATTGATTCATTTCTGGAAAATGGTGCAAAAAATAGAAATACTATTAATCTACAACGAGTTTAAAAAAAAAAGTTTACACCTTTATTTCGATTTCCTCATAATACAATATAAACATAATATAAATGCTTATCTTTGTGTATGTATTGATTAATTATTCTCTTAAACATCCTAACTGTTCGTAATTAGAATGACGTATAAAACGTGGTTGATGGATAGACATGATAAATTAAAATAGCAACTATGAAAATAGTAACAATAAATGTAGTGTTAGTACCCTCCACTTTTATACACAATTATAGTTACAACGAACTTGTCAACATCGATAACAAGGTTTAAGAAAATGTATGAATTATTCATTCTAAATAATGCATACTTTCTTTCAGAGAAAATGATAATAAACATAAATTTAAAAACGTTTAAATGCCTCTTTATGAGCCTTCTTAAAATGCTACAAACAAATAACTTTGTATTTTTTTAAATTCAGATATTCGGATAATGTCTATCCTAGAACATATCAGTTATATATTATATTTATAATTTAACGATTAGGTTCATACTAACCGTAGGTGTATACTGCTTTAAACCCACGTAAGTTCGTCTGGTTATTTGAATGGAAAACTACATAGAGATTGCCTGTAAAACGGATCGAATCAGGGAAGGCTACATCACAATAAACTTGAAGCAGTGGATCACTTTCTGATGTCCCGTTGAATATCTTTACATAATCTGCATTACAACTCGGTGATGCTTGTAATTCAAAGTCTTGAAATCTAGAAAGAAGGATACGCGTATATAAGATAATAACTATTACAATTTTGTAACATACAACAAAAGGTACTTATATTTATTCTGGATGTTTTTTTTTAAATAATAAAGAATTACAATAACTAAACTTTGTGAAATGAAATGATAATTTGCAACAAATACACTTAGACGATCCATGAAATGCATATGGCTGAGCTATTACAGTGAAATGTACTTACGTAATAATTGTAACCATTTCAGGTTTAGCCGGTATAATCCAAGAACAATCCGAAAAACCTGGGTAGTACTGTGGGTAGTTAGGGCTAGTTATAAAACCGGTTGTATCTCTTACAGCTGCGCCACAGGGTATGTAATTAGCTGAAAGAATAAAATGTCAACAGATGCTTGTAAGTTACGTGCGAAACAAGCATGAGACAGTGAGCTCAAAGGGTAGAGCAACCAACTACTGAACATTTTGAGTTAACATCCCTGAGGTCACTGAGTCCACCCAGCTATGGTGTGTACCTGTCTAGCGTTAGGATAATCAAAGGCCACGCTATCTCCTCATGACCCTTGAGTCAGGATGCTCACCTTCACCTGCCAACTTGATGTAAGGTTCTTCTCTTATTCTTCATTCTTGATATTTTTGTATTGGAAATAATTTTAGTGTTGGAAGGCATTCCCTCCAACGCGATTAAGCATAGGTGTCAACTGGTTATGCGCCACTGAGGCTATTGACTCCGATTTCAGCCTGCTATTTATTTTGAATTTGCTTCCATAGCCTTTGTCCAACCAAGAACAAAAAACAAGGCGGCAGTTGTTTGATTTTGGAATTTTCTCTCCTAGTAGAGTTGCTATCCCCAACTAACGAACCCCGACTACCAGGGATGTAAGGTTCAAAATGGTACTTAAATTTAATTACACAGTAATTAGGACTACACGGAAGTAACTTTAACTAACATTTTTTCAACGACTTAAGTTATCGACTAGCCATTGTATTCTCTCACCTTTACATCTAGTTAAATCTACGCTATCAATGATGTACCCAGGTTCTTGACATGAGCATGTGGTGTTTCCAAGCGTACTTGTGCATGTCCGATGGCATGGATTGACAGGGTTGTCGCATTCATTATTTTCTGTAAAAAATGCGTGAGAAAAAAATAACGTTAGTCTATTACATTCCTATTTCTTTATCCTTATTGGTATCTCTATATACGCTGCTAGAATGTTTTACGTAGATTTCATGGTTCAAAACACTCAAATACGTATACGCAGCGGGAGAGAGGGGTGACAACATTTAGAAGGGGTGACACCAAGCCAAAAAATTGCTAAATATATATATAAGAAAAATGATTATATCAGTTCAATTAATGAATCACTGGAGTTTAAAAGCCATTGAAGTGCAAAGTGAATATTCCGACAGTGTGGAAGAGGGTGACACCATGACGTAAACTTGCTCACTATATAAATAAATAAATAAATAAATAAATAAATAAATATATATATATATATATATATATATATATATATATATATATATATATATATATATATATATATATATATATATATATATATATATATATATATATACTTTTTTGGTGAATGGGGGGTTGGGACCATAAGTGCCGCACCGGGTGACACTCGACCTAGTTACACCACTACGTAAACGTTTACTTATATCTACCTACATATCTATGTATTCCTTACTATAATTTTTTCTCTTTTTCTTCTTATACATAATGTATACATTGGGATTAGGATAATACTTAAGGTAATAAAAAATCTCCGGTTATTTCCCCCTACCCTAATTATTATTACCACTACTACCCAGTAGTATCATTTTTCTTTTGAAGTGATTATTGCGCGAATTATTTATGCATCTTTGAAGATTTTTGAGAACGTTCCTGATACTATATGTTCAAATAGGAACGGTTTAGGAATATGATGGGCGTGTGGATTGCCTGTTGGCTTGTTTTTGCGATATAAGCACAGTATTAATATCATACATAATAACATACATAATATCATACAAAATGATCGTGCAATGATAAGCTACAAATTAACATATATATCGATACTTCTAAATTCATTATCAGGGTTGTTGTTTTTAATTTTAATAGTGTTTGATTGTTAATATTAACATTGTTTGCACTCCTGTTAGATAGAGGAAGGTGATCTAGCAATACTATATGTATAGCACCAAATTTAGTGGGTTTTTGTATGAGCCTAGTTAAGCGATTTGTCCATCTCTCCATATAAAACCCTCAACTTACGTCGATAATGTCCTTAATTTGTTTCTTTTTACAAAAATTTGAAAACTTTTAAAATGTTATACCATATGTTGACATTGATTGCATTTTAGCAAGAACATATTTAGCTCCTCTTCACGATCATGCCCTTTATTGTACTACTACCGTTTATATATATAAAATTTATTCTCAAATACGATTGGTCAAAATAATTTGGTCAACATTAGTGCATACTTATAATACAATTTCGACATTATAGTCAAACTATAAGGAAGATAATACGAGAAAGAAAAAACGCGACAATATTAAATGTACAAAAAAGCACATTACACACGAACAGATTGATAGTTATACAACACTGGCAGAAGGACTAAATAACAGACATTAATCAGGCAAGTAAGCTCGAGTACCAGCTGGCTGAATGTCTAGCTAAACGTTTGACCGACTGAATGATGGAGAGACTTCATGTCACGCTGACTGAAATAATGTATTGTTTGGCTGATCATTTATCAACTATTTATTATGCAACGATTCAATGCGTACTCACCATAACTATAAAATAGTTGAAATCCTTGAGTGACTCTCTCGAGATCAGAGTGAAACACTAAATACAGGTCGTTGTTAGAGCTGATGGGGTCAGGTGTGTAAGAACCACAGTAACGCTGAAGCAGTGGGGCGGTATCCGAGGACCCATTATAGACTTTAAGGTAATCATATTGGCAGATTTCATCAGTTTCTATTTTCAAATCTAAAAACCTGGATAAAAAAGTCAACAAATAAAATTTTCTAATGCTGACCATTATTTTCTAAAGTAAGTTAAAAAGTTTATTAAGTTAGAGGTTAAGTACTAAAAGAGTAGCTCGAAGTAAAATAATATTTAGAAAGTATGGATTAAATTTTAATGTTTTCTTATGTAACATAACATACAGCCATTAATGTTATAATAATTCTACGTCGCACTGCCTATATAAACTTTACATAAAAATGTGTATATTTTTTGCTTGCAAATGCTAAATATCTTTGTAAACTAAATACACATTTAAATTCGGCTATGTACAATTGATAGGCAGTTATTTAAAAAATAAAATCTTTGAAATTAATGTAATTTCTGAAACTATTAATGGATTTGGATGGGAAATATTGTTATAGCAAATTGCTTGGTGAAAGGGGTAGATTTACAAGCAAAAGAAATTGTGTGTAAATACTATTAGCACTGATGAAAGACATAACCCTACTATTTTATTTCTAGATCTCGCTAATTGTTTTTTAAATTTTCAGACATTCCATTATCATACAGTCGTCATAAATTTAAATACAACATTGTTTATTTTCCTGGTAACAAATGTTGAAATATGTGAGTGGTATAGTTGCATACAAAATAAAGTTGTGAGTTTCAAGATGTATGATAGGGATACATTTATTTGTTCACTAACAAAAATACCAACATAGACATACATTATTAATACAATGCCGAATGTAGACACAGTTAGACGAGGATAACTGGTAGTCTAACTTACTTCTAAAACAGACAGAACATTTTAACCAGACATGGACCGAAACCCACCACTCCACACGGTGTACATGATCGTCCACTAACATGGCCTAAGACTGTTTCCCTATATGTAAGTCAAACTTAATAATTTGTTTTGGCCGAATGCTGATTGTGCCGAGGGTTAGAGTTTAATGGTTAATGGTGTGCAAGGGGATTCGTAAAAGAGGAAGAGCAGATTAGAAAGTGTGGTGTTTGTGTTTGTGTGTGTGTGTGATTGTGTGTGTGTTTGTGTGTGTGTGTGTGTGTGCGTGTGTGTGTGTTTTTGTGTGCGTGTGTGTGTGAAAATGCAAGGAGCTATGGTTTTAGGAATGAGGAAAGTTTTGTGTCACTACGCAACATGATATCTTTCCTACAGATATCAAAATGATGTCTGAACATAAACTCAATAGGTGTACTTCCCACAGATAGTATTATTTATTTAGCTAGCAATATTTCAAACAAGCATATATGATTCCACAAGATCATTAATTAGACACAGCCATTAACTTACTTCACGAATGTGTAATTAACTATGAATATCTACAGTCTTATTTGTTGTGGTAGTTGAAAAAAAAAATCTTACTTGATTTTCTTTCATATTTTGTATAACAATTTCGTTGCAATTTTAAAAATTGTTGTACAAATACTTTCAATTGTTAAGATCATAAAAGAATCTATTTTAAAAATCAGTACGTACGTGATAGTTGTAATTTTTTTAGGTACTGAAGGAATTCTCCAAAAGCAATTGGACAATGCTGGATATGTATGTGGGTAGTTTGGGCTAGTTATCATCCCCCATTTTTCTGTAGCGTTTGAGTTACAGGGAACATAGTATGCTGCAAGAGAAAAGGTATATACTAATTAATACATGAATTGAGAATGCATTGAAAATATGCAACTGCCAAAACAACAGCAGAAGAAAAACATCGGATATTTAGGTTTATCTCACCTTTACATGTTTTATTATCTGTTCTATCAAGGATAAATCCAGGTTGTGGACAAGAGCATGTGTAGCTTCCAGGTGTGTTTTCACATATTTGCTGGCCTGGGCATGTGATGTTTTTGCACTCATTAATGTCTGGAAAAGAATTTAGAAAAAAACATGTCGTAAACTTTAGACTAACAAAATAGTTACTTGTAGAATACATTAGTGATTTACTATTTTATGATTGAAGTATGATCTGGAGAGATAAAATGCCTGGTGTTTTATAATAGCGTTACGAAGAAATTTTTGTTTGGATTCTTTCAGCAAGACATTTCAGCAGAGCAACGGGACGTCTAGACTACTACCCAGCTTTGATGGGTACCTAACTTTAGTTAGGGAAACAAAGGCGGCTGGGCATAGTGCTGACCACAGAAATGTTTTACTATGTAGCAGATGTTTTACAACTATTGCCTATAATGCCTAATGAATAAAACATTGACACATATGTTGTAATTTTGTACTGGGTCGTTACAATAAAATTGCATTGTAAAGAGTACACAATTGTAATTTTTTTTTTTTTGCTGTCACTGTACAGTAACTAAAAACATAAATTGCATTTACGAAAATGTAAACTAAAACTATAATGTTGCCATCCAAAATCGTAAATTTGGCGAAGGTTTTATCTAATGTCTCTATTTTTAACTAAACCTGAAATTTAAATTTAAATTGGCTTTAAAATACTCTTAATAAATTTTTTTCTATTTTTAAAATATCAACAATTTTTTTTTATATTTAATTGTAAATTTTTTGAAATTTCCATAAACAAAAACTTACCATCACATTTCGTTGGGTCGGTTTTATTAATGGTGTAGCCAGATCTACAAGAGCATTGAAAACTACCAGGAGTATTGGTACAGTTCTGTTCACACACAGGGTTGGTTGTATTAGCACATTCGTTGGTTTCTGTAAAAAAAATGGTAACATATGTTGTAAAATACTAACATATTTATTATCTTTAAAAAATGTTTTAGAATTTTACGTTATTAATCAAATATAATTTTAATTTATCAAATTCGGAAAAATTATGGTATTTAAACAAACTTCAAAAAAATTCAGTGATGTCTTAATTAGAGAAAATACTAATTTAGAAACATAGTTATAGTTTTGGTTTAAAAAACTTTAATATTTTAAACCGTAATTGATCTTTCACTTTATAACTTAAAGGTAAATCATTTAGGATAATTTGTAATACTACCCAAAAATACAATTATTAGTTATTTTTTTAAAATAGAAATAGAAGAATTGATTATTATAAACTAACCATCACATTTCGTTGGATCAACTGTATTAATAGTGTAGCCTGTTCTACAAGAGCATTGAAAACTACCAGGAGTATTGGTACAGTTCTGTTCACACACAGGATTGGTAGTATTAGCACATTCGTTAATTTCTGAAATGGATTACACATTTTGTGAAAAATAAAGTTGTAAAATACACTGCTTTCTTAAACGGTTAAAGTGTGTATTTTTATTTTTAAAAATCTAAAACTGACCATCACATTTTGATGTGTCTATTTTATTAATTGTGTAGCCGTTTCTACAAAAGCATAGAAAACTTCCTGGAGTATTGGTACAGTTCTGTGCACACACAGGATTGGTTGTATTAGCACATTCGTCAATTTCTGAAAAAAAAAGAAACGTTTTATATTTCGTAAAATCAATTTCATTACATTGTAAAAAAACAAAACTAAAAACTGAATGTATCTTACTTTTTAAAAAGAGGCTCATTTTTATCCCTTTAATTATTATTTTTTATTTTATAACAATATAGGCAACTTTTATTAACAAAAAAAAATCATTAATAGCTAATTAATTTTAGTGATTTCAAATGTAAATATTATTTTCTGCTGATTTTTTCCTTAAGTAATTTTTAATAAACAAATACTAACCATCACATTTTGAAGGGTCTGTCTCACTCAAGGAGTAGCCGTTTCTACAAGAGCATCGGAAACTTCCAAGAGTGTTGCTACACATTTGATCGCACACAGGAAAAGTTGTGAAAGCACATTCATTGATGTCTGAAAAAATATACATTTAAAATAACCCTGAGTTATCACGTTGAAAAACGTATATATGAGTTTCGAATTGTTCTTTAAACACATGCTTTAAACATGAAACTTAAATTGTGTTTTAACTAATTTTAAAATGTTTTTATATGGGAATGCACTTTAATTTAACAAATACAAAGACTAATATTTTTGCAATTATTTTATTTTCAAAGAAACAACATTAATTTTATTTCATATTTCAGCTACATTTTAAATATTTCTGAGTGTATCAATTATTAAGTTTACTTAAACAAATACTAACCATCACACCGAGTTGGATCTAATAAATTGATGTTGTAGCCCAATCTACAGGAGCATCGAAAACTCCCGATTGTATTGGTACATTCATGTTCACACAGAGGGTTGGTTAAGTTACCACATTCGTTGATATCTGAAATTTATTTACATACTTTATTAAACGGTGTATTAGGTTGTAAAATAATATTAAAATTTAATATTCATATCATATTTCTTTTAAATATGAACTGTTTATTTAATTTAACTTTTAATAATTTGTTTTAACAGCTATATAATATTTAAATAACATTACAAGTCTATCTATTTTATAAATTTATAAATTAACTGAATTTGTTTTGTTGTTAAAGAGTATAATTTTACTTTCAAAAACAAAAACTGACCATCACATTTCGCTGTGTCTGTTTTATTAATGCTGTAGCCTTTTCTACAAGAGCACTGAAAACTACCAGGAGTATTGGTACAGATTTGCTCACACACAGGGTAGGTTGTGTTAGCACATTCGTTAATTTCTGAAATAGTTTATATATTTCGTAAAAGCTATCTCAACACTAAAAAACTAAAATAAAATTATGATGTAGCTTTCTTATATATATATATATATATATATATATATATATATATATATATATATATATATATATATATATATATATATATACATATATATATCTAATATATAAAGCTCAGTTCTGTATGTAATGCATATGTTTGTCGTTGGAATTGTATGAATTTAAGTGTTAGAAAATTATCGTGCGCATTTGTCTAAATTTATGAGCTAAAAAATTACTATTGAAAGTGTTGGGAAATCATTTTCATTTTTCAAATTATAGTAATAATTGTCGGCATGTTCATTAAACACAAGTTTTAAAAAAATATCATCTTTTACAAAAATTCTAATTATGTCTTTATTTAGTCCTATAGCACTTACTTCCCTTTGATAAATTAGGAAAACAAAATTACTTCCCTTTATAAAACCATTGCATTAGTCGAAAATAATTTACTTTTTAATTACTTTGTTTTGGTGTTGGGAAAAAAAATAATTACATAATTAGCGGGGATTGATCAAGTGCAAATGTTGTAGGTATTTTACGGATAAGCTTGGAGTATTAAAATTGTTCATCAAATTGAAACAGGCGCGTTCGTTTAAGTGAGTGCAAAAGACTATGAATAAGTTGGGGTACTATAGTCGTTCATTAAGCTAAAACAGGTGATTCCGCCCCGGGCGTTTATGTTCGCGTTAGTGTTTTCTTTGTGTTTAGGTGGGTTTGCGTTAGTGGTTGCGTTTTGATTTGGTTCGTTTTTGTTCTTTCTTTTTTCGTTTTCGTTTTTGTTTGTGTTTTTTTGTTTGGGTTTGTATTTGTGTTTTTGGTTGGTTTTGCGTTTGGATTTGGTTTGTTTTCGTTTGCTTTTTCGTTGTTTTTTTTTGTTGGTATTGGTGTTTGTGGTTGGGTTTGTTGTTCGGTTTTTGTTTTCGTTTGCTTTTTTGTTTGTTTTTTCTTTGTGTTTGTATTGGTGTTTGTGGTTGTGGTTGGGTTTGTTGTTAGGTTTTTGTTTTCGTTTGTATTTGTAATTGTGTTAGCGTTATGTTTGCGTTTTGTTGTTTTGGTTGGTTGTGGTTTGGGTGGGCAATGCCGGGTTTATGATGATTACTAAACACACAGGTAATGGTCTTTAACAGAAAGGTTTTTCACAGAAGCCAGAGCAGTGCCTGGCCGGGACGGCTAGTAATATATAAAGGTCAATTCTGTATGTTTGTAATAAGTTTGTCGTTGATATACTTCAATGGATTTAAGTGTTAGATTATTATCGTGCTCATAATATACATTTATGAGTTAAAAAATTACTATTGAAAGTGTTGGGAAATAATTTTCATTTTTCAAACTGATATTAATAATTGTCGGCATGTTCATTAAAAACAATTTTTTAAAAATATCATCTTTTAAAAAAAACTCTAATTATGTCTGAAAATTATTTATATTTAGTCCTTTAGCACTTACTTCCCTTTTATAAATTAGGAAAACACAATTACTTCCCTTTATAAAACATTGCATTAGTGGAAAAAAATTTACTTTTTATTACTTTGTTTTGGTGTTGGAAAATAAATAATTACATAATTAGCGGGGATTGATCAAGTGCAAATGTTGTATGTATTTTACGGATAAGCTTGGGGTATTATAATTGTTTATTTTGTTTGGTTTGGCACCTACGTTCGTTTAAGTGAGTGCAAAAGACTATGAATATCGTTTATTAAGCTGAAACAGGCGATTCTGCCCCGGGCTAGACTGTGAACACTTTGCGTTTGTGTTCGCGTTTGTGTTTTCTTTGTGTTTAGGTTGGGTTTGCGTTAGTGGTTGCGTTTTGATTTGGTTCGTTTTTGTTCTTTCTTTTTTCGTTTTCGTTTGTGTTTTTTTCTTTGGGTTTGTGTTTGTAATTGTGTTTATGGTTGGTTTTGCGTTTGGATTTGGTTTGTTTCGTTTGCTTTTTCATTTGTTTTTTTCTTTGGGTTTGTGTTTGTGGTTGGTTTTGCGTTTGGATTTGGTTTGTTTTCGTTTTTTTTTCTTTGTGTTCGTATTGGTGTTTGTGGTTGTGGTTGGGTTTGTTGTTAGGTTTTTGTTTTCGTTTGTATTTGTAATTGTGTTAGATTTATGTTTGCGTTTTGTTGTTTAGGTTTTGGTTGGTTGTGGTTTGGGTGGGCAATGCCGGGTTTATGATGATTAATAAACACACAGGTAATGGTCTTTAACAGAAAGGTTTTTCACAGAAGCCAGAGCAGGGCCTATCCGGGACGGCTAGTATATATATATATATATATATATATATATATATATATATATATATATATATATATATATATATATATATATATATATGTTAAAAATGTAAAGAATTTTAATTTAATTACACAATCTGTAACTTGTTTTGACAATAAACGTTTTTTTTATATAATAAATAAATTACTTTAAATATTTCTTTTGTATCGATAGTCTATTTTTTTCCGTTAGTAATTTTACATAAACAAATACTAACCGTCACATTTTGTGGGGTCTATTTTATTAATGGTGTAGCCGGTTCTACAAGAGCATCGGAAACTCCCAGGAGTGTTGGTACAGGTTTGTTGACACACAGGGTTTATTGTGTTAGCACATTCATTGATGTCTAAAAAGAAACAAATGTTTAAAAACTTTTTTTTTGTTTTTCAAATTCAAAAAACAGCTTAAATGATTAAATGTTACAGGATTTTACAACTTTTTCAAGGTACTTGTATGTTTACGTACCTTAATTCAAAACATGGAATTATTACAAGTAGCAAAGCCATTAGTTTTTTTATAAAAACGTCATTACTTATTTATTATATGCTTCAGCTACACTTAATATATATTTCTAAGTGTTTCAGCAATAAAGTTTACGAAATCAAATACTAACCGGCACATTTAGTCTGATCTGTTGAATCGATGTTGTAGCCTGATCTACATGAACATTGATAACTTCCAGGTGTGTTGTTACAGTTTTGTTCACATACAGGGTTTGTTGTAATAGCACACTCGTTGTTGTCTGGAAATTTGTTATGTAAATTGTAAAAGAATGTATTAGGTTGCAAAAAATATAAAAATGTAATAACAAAATCATGTTTTGGTTTTAATTATTGAGTTTTAAAAAGTTTTATTCTAAATCTTCTATTCCTCGATTCGGAATGTTTTGTGGGTCATGTAATATTTAAATAACAATCAACTTACCAATTTGAAAAAACAATTACGTGTTTAATTGTTGAATTTTTCAAAGCAGAAACTGACCTTCACATTTCGTTGTGTCTGTTTTATTAATGGTGAAGCCACTTCTACAAGAGCATAGAAAACTACCAGGAGTATTGGTACAGGTTTGTTCGCATACAGGGTTGGTAGTATTTGCACATTCGTTAATTTCTGAAAAATGTATATATATATATATATATATATATATATATATACATATATATATATATATATATATAAATAAATATATATGTATACTTATTTATTTATATAAGCATATAAATGTATATATATATAATTATAATTATAATCTTTCTAAAAAGATATGTAAGCTTTGTTGGCAAATTATATATTTTAATTTATGTGTTTCCGTTAGTTATTTACATAAATAAATACTAACCGTCACATTTTGTGGGGTTCGTTCTATTAATGGCGTAGCCGGTTCTACAAGAACATTGGAAACCCCCAAGAGTGTTGCTACAGATTTGATCACACACAGGGTTGGTTAAGTTAGAACATTCATTGATGTCTGAAAAAGTAACAAACCTTTAGAAAAATGTTAGGTTTGTTTATTTAAACAGCAGCTAAACGGATACATTTTAAAAGTTTTATTTTTTTTTTTTTACAATGCACAATTTTGGTATGTATTGTAACTTAAAAAAAAATATTCTAAAATGCGTTTTGCCATTAATTATTTCAAAGAAACTACATTTTTTATTTCTTTTATATTTTACTACGTTTAATGTAATGTTAATGTATTTCAATTGAAAGTAATATATAACAAATACTAACCAGCACATTTGGTCACATCCGTAGAATTAACGTTGTAGCCTGATCTACATGAGCATCGAAAACTTCCAGGTGTGTTGGTACAGTTTTGTTCACACACAGGGTTTGTTGTATTGGCACATTCGTTGTTGTCTGGAAAACCGTTATATAAATTATTAAAAAACGTTTAACTTTTCAAATAATATAAAAAAGTAATAATACAATCATCTTTTGTTTTCAAATATGAATTTTTAAAAAGTTTTATTTTTCGACTTGGAATATTTTATGGGCCATACACTATTTTAACAACTTTATTAGTCTTTCATTTTCATAAATCAACTGTATCTGTTTAGTACTTAAAGAGTATAGTTATATTTTCCAAAAGCAGAAACTGACCATCACATTTCGTTGTGTCTGTTTTATTGATGGTGTAGCCACTTCTACAGGAGCATTGAAAACTACCAGGAGTATTGGTACAGGTTTGTTCACATACAGGGTTGGTAGCATTTGCACATTCGTTAATTTCTGAAAAAAGTATATATATATATATATATATATATATATATATATATATATATATATATATATATATATATATATATATATATATATATATATATATATATATATATATATATATATATATATATATATATATATATATATATATATATATATATATATATATATATATATATATTTCAACGCCTTCTAGAAAAGTGTAAGTGTAGAATGTACGTATCTTTACTTCTAAACAGAATTATGTATTTTAAAACGACCAGTTTTATGTAAAAAATAGGTTAATTTTGTTGACAAATATACGTTTTTAATGAAGAACAATAATACTGTATCGATTATATATATAAAAAAACAGTGTTCTGTGGTTAAGATTTTTCAGTTAGTACTTTTACAAATAAAAATACTAACCGTCACATTTCGTTGGATCTGTTTTATTAATAGTGTAGCCATTTCTACAAGAGCATCGGAAACTTCCAAGACTGTTGCTACATATTTGTTGACACACAGGATTGGTTGTGTTAGCACATTCATTAATGTCTAAAAAATAAACATTTTAAAACTTATTTATTGTGTTTTGAATTTTGTTTTTACAAAATAGCTTTTATTATAAAAATAAATATTTTTTAACAATTTTTACAAGATACTCTAATTTTACCATAAAATAAAGAAATTAATAAAAAGGATTGTCTTTAATTATTTCATAGAATCTACAATAAACATTTGTTATATATTTCAACTGCATTTTTGTTGTTAAAATTGTTAAATTGTATGTATTACAAACAAATACTAACCATCACATTTTGACGGGTCTGTGACATTAATGTTGTATCCTGATCTGCAAGAGCATCGATAACTCCCGGGTGTATTGCTACAGCTTTGTTCACAAACAGGGTTGGTTGCATTAGCACATTCATTGATCTCTAAAATTAGTTATAGAAATTATTATAGAATTTAATAGATTTCAAAACAATATTAATTTTTTAAAATAATGTAATTTTTTATTGGAAGTATTATAAATTTTAATGTTAAATTTTATATACCTTTATTGGGAATATTATATTTGCGAAAAAAAAAACTAACCATCACATTTTGTTGTGTCAATTTTATTAATGCTGTAGCCAGTTCTACATGAGCATTGAAAACTACCAGGAGTATTGGTACAGTTTTGTTCACACACAGGGTTGGTTGTATTGGCACATTCGTTAATTTCTGAAAAGCATTATTTTTGTTTTCATTTTCTAAAAATTGTTTAATCACATATTAAAAAATATTCAAATTAAAATGTTTGCATCTTTCGTGCTAGACAAACTTGAATGTATATTTACATATATAACAATTCAGTGATTAATTACGTTTTAATAAAAAATAATCCTTTATTTTTTGTAGTTTAAAAAATAAATCATTAAATATGTAATTAATACAGATGTGTACATAATTTTTTTTTTATGAAAACTAGTTTTCTTTAGTAATGTACATAAACAAATACAAACCGTCACATTTCGTTGGGTCTGTTTTATTAATGGCGTAGCCGGTTCTACAAAAGCATCGGAAACTTCCTAGAATGTTGCTACAGGTTTGATCACACACAGGATTGGTTGTGTTAGCACATTCATTGATGTCTGAAGAAAAAAACAAATAATTAATAATTAATTTAAAAGGTTTTGTTTGATTTTTTTTAAACAACAGCATTAAAGATACAAATTATTAGCAAATTTTTCAGATAATTAATTTAGGCATATATATATATATATATATGTATATATATATATATATATATATATATATATATACCTTTAGAAATCGTCAAAATAATCTACTGTTGTAATATTACATTCATAAAAAGTATTTAATCTGCTGTTAAAGTGCTTAGGACATTATATTTACATAAACAAATACTAACCATCACATTTGGTCGGATCTGTTGAATTGATGTTGTATCCAAATCTACAGGAGCATCGAAAACTCCCATTTGTATTGCTACAGCTTTGGTCACATACAGGATTGGTTGTATTAGCACATTCGTTAATATCTAAAAATCGGATATAAATTATGAAAAAACAAATAGTAATATTTTTTAATCATAAGCTACCATTTAAAAATAAATCATCCTTTGTTTAATACCCTATAGAGTCAAAAATTTAAAAATATTTAAAGTGGAAGTTTTTATTTCTTCTTTTTGAATCGTTTATATGCAATATATTTTTTGAAAATAGCTTTATCACAGGGTCGATTTTTATAAATCAGCTAAATCTGTTTAGTTATTTAAATGTTTGTATTTTGCATATACCAAAACTGACCATCATATTTCGTTAGGTCTTCTTTAATATTGCTGTTGCTGTATATTTATAACTGTAAAAACTATTTCATTAGATTTCCTTAAAAAATACTAAGTGAAAAATGTATTTGAAAAGTTAGGTAGGCCCCTATATATCATTTTGATGAGGATCAATAATATTTTTTTTAATCTGTAATTTTTGTTAAAAAAAATGTTATTCATAATAACAAAATAGCTTTTAAATTTCAAATTTCACTATAATCCCATTCGTGAACGTCTTGTTTTTTTTTTTCTAAAAGTGACTCCATTAAAAGTTACTAACCGTCACATTTCGTTGAGTCCGTTTTATTAACATTGAAGCCATTTCTACAAGAGCATCGGAAACTTCCAAGACTGTTGCTACAGATTTGTTCACACACAGGGTTGGTTGTGTTCGCACATTCATTAATGTCTGAGAAAGAAATACGCATTTCAAAACGTTTATATTAGGCGTTGAATGTTTTGAAAGCGATAGCTTTGAAGATAAAATTTAATATTTATAATTTGGAAATTTTGTAATTGTAAATTTTTTAGCAGGTCTGTCAATTGAACCTAAAATTGAAAAAAAAGTATCTCTACGTTATTTTGTTGATTCTATACATAAGCAGCAATTCATTTATTTTTAACAGTTTCGTTTAGTAGATTTAAAAACACAAATGCTAACCGTCACATTTCGTCGGATCTGTTGAATTGATGTTGTAGCCCGATCTACAAGAGCACCGAAAACTCCCATTTGTATTGCTACAGTTTTGTTCACATACAGGGTTTGTGGTATTAGCACATTCATTGATGTCTGAAAATTATTTATAACATTTAAAACAAATGTAATTGATTTCAAAATAAAATTTAAATTTAAAAAATTGAATTATCTTTTGTTTTTTAATTTGAAATGTTTAAACTGATTAGGTCGAGTTGTTTTTCCTACATTCATAACGTTTTTGTCGACCATATTTAAATAACTTTATTACACTGTCAATTGTATATATCAGCTGCATTTATTAACATGTAAAGCGTATAAATGTAATTTTTAAACAGACACTGACCATCACATTTCGTTGTGTCTGTTTTATTAATGCTGTAGCCGTTTCTACAAGAGCATTGAAAACTACCAGGAGTATTGGTACAGGTTTGTTCACACACAGGGTTGGTTGTATTAGCACATTCGTTAATTTCTAAAAAAAAGGATTTTCAAATTTAGTAAAAACTATTTTAATAAATTCTAGAACAACAAAAATAAAAATGAATGAATCTTTCCATCGAAAAGGTCATTTATATCTATATTATGTTATACATACATTTATATATATATATATATATATATATATATATATATATATATATATATATATATATATACATATATATATATATATATATATATATATATATATATATATATATATATATATATATATATATATATATATATATATATTAACTAATCGGTAGTTTTTGTTGGCAAATTATATGATTTTAATTAAGAACTATAATATTTTAAAGATTAAGTATGTTAAGAAAATATTATATGAGGTAAAGAAGTTACCGTTAGTACTTCTACTTAAACAAATACTAACCGTCACATTTTGTTGAATCATTTTTATTAATGGTATAGCCGCTTCTACAAGAGCATCGAAAACCACCCAGACTGTTGCTGCATATTTGTTCACACACAGGATTGGTTGTGTTAGCACATTCATTGATGTCTGAAAAGGATTTACACGTATTTAAAAGGTTTTGAATATCTATTTATTAAAATAGCTTGAAAGAAAAATGTTAATTGTTTATTTTAACAATTTATATAAGTTTTTATTTTGGTAGGTATTTTAATGTAAACAAATTAATAAATACATAATAGCATTGCATTAATTATTTTATAGAAAACTGTGTTAATGTTTTGTCTCGTATACGAGTATTTCACAAGTCGGAAAAACAGTTTCTGTTTTATGTGTGTGTCTGTTTGGATGTGTGTCTGCGAACAGGATAATTTCAGTACGGTTAAAGCTAGGTTGATGAACTTTCATATATAAATATTACATCTACACAGTAATTATGTATAGTTTTGTGATTTCGAGTAAACGGGAGTGTATTTTCATCTAATTTTTTTTTCAAAAGCCTATAACTTGAGTATTTTTTACTTTGTCGTATATACAAAGTATAGAGAAAGTCTTGTAATCGTGCAAAAAAAAAAATCAAGATTTTTACAAAACTCGATGTTTTGCACATCACTGATACGGAAAAACATAATTTTGCAATCTTGTCCGTATGTCTGAGTGTCTGTGTGTGTGTGTGTGTGTGTGTGTAAACACGATAACTTGAGTACCGTTACAGCTAGGTTGATGAAATTTCATATATAAGTATTTTATCAAAATCGTAGATTCTGGTCAACTTTTGAGCGATTTCAGATAACTGGAAGTAGTACTTTTTCTACTTTGAACTTTTCAAAAGCCTATAACTTCAGTACTATTTCAGATAGATGAATGAAATTTCACATGTAAGTAAAAGATCTAATTTTCTACCTTCTATACAATTTTGAGTAATTTCGGTGAACTGAAGTACTAATTTACGCTATTTCCGATTTCTCAAAAAACGCATGTAAATTTATAAAGTACTAATAATATTGCGTACTATTATGCAGATTTTGTTTTGGCGTTCGCTTGGTGCGCAATTGTTTTTTTCTATGAGATTCTATTCTATTTTTAAAAGTTTAAGTAATTAAAAATCATTCTAGATTCCAAGTTATATAAGAATATTCGAGAAAGTTTAGAGGAGATCACTCCCGGTTTTATTTCAATTTAAATGTAAAAGTTTAACATATAAGTAAATGATCTGTCTGCTGCGAAATTAGGTGTAATTTCTTTTTTTACCGGAAGTAGTACCTTACACCACTTCCAATTTCTCAAAGAAGGCATATGAATTTATAAAGTATTATTGTTCAGCACTATTATACACACATAGTATTCTGTTGACTTGGTGAGCAATCATTTTCTCTACAAGATTCTATTATATTTTTTTAAAATTAAGTATTTAAAATTTGATTAAGAAATATCTATATCCCGAGTTGGAAAACGGCGGTTTATTTTTTTTTTGATGCAGGTGCCTTTTTTTGTTAAAATGATTTTCCTATTAGGTTTACAATTAAATATACTAACCATCACATTTTGTCAGATCTGTTGAGTTGATGCTATAACCCGGTCTACATGAGCATCGAAAACTCCCAGGTGTATTGGTACAGTTTTGATCACACACAGGGTTGGTTGTATTAGCACATTCGTTAATTTCTGAAAAGAATTAATATATTATATTTCTCAAAAAACTGACTAAATCAAAACTATTTAAAGTGAAAACTGAATTTATCCATCGTTGTAAGTATATTTCCCTTTGTAATAAATTAATTGATGCATTTTAGTTTTGTTGAACATGAAATATTTTCCATATACAGCTATATTAATTTAATCTTTGAACATATTGTTTTGTTCTGAAAGTGTCTCGTAGAGTTATTTTACAAAAAATAAATACCAACCGTCACATTTCGTTGAGTCTGTTTTATTAATGGAGTAGCCGGTTCTACAAGAGCATCGGAAACTCCCAAGACTGTTGCTG